AAAAAAAAAAAGCGTGTGATATAAACATAGAAAACTTGGCTCACCAGTAGTATAAGTCTGCTGTTTTTTCCCCAACTCCAAATTCATACAAAGGAAGTGAAGTGAAATAGTTTGCTTTTTTTCCCACCCTGTGGGAAATCCATTTACAGTGATTTATATCTATCATTGAACCTTGCCATATCCATATGATTTAGGCCTTTTGGAGTTAGGCAGAAGGGCCCTCTTCCTATTTGGCTGACAACTGAAATTTCCATGCAGCCGCAGTAAAGTAGAAGAAGATAGAGCAGTGTGATTTGCCAAGACTACCTTGTGACTCAGGCAAATCAAAAAATAGAAGTGGCAGGGAGAGTAAGGAGAGGAAAAGGGTACCTTACAAAGAATGAAGATGTGTTATGTACATGTACCAACTCCTCACAATGAATGTGATCATTGTGTATTGCAAACATGTACTGATACAAATTAATTTTTTTAACTAAAAAATAGAATTGAGAGACTGTTTCCATTCTACAGGCAATGATTTAGGGAGAGAAAGAAAAAATTACTAAATACACCTTTTGTTTTTTGTGGGTTTTTTTTTTTTTTCCTTTTTGAGATAGGGTTTCACTCTGCACTACAGGCTGGCCTTGGACTCACTTTGTAGCCCAGGCCGGCATTGAACTTTTGGTGATCCTCCTATCTCAGCCTCCCACGTGCCAGGCTTACAGGCATTTGCCACCATATCTGACCTAATAAATATATTTTAAAAGCTTTATCAAGGTAGAAAGCTAGGGTGAATCCAACTAATATGAAGTGAATTTGAATTTACAACAACCAGGTTTCAGACATGAAAGGAGAAAGATACTTAATTTGCTACTTAAAACTGTTGGCTAAACTGGGTGTGATGGCACATGCCTGTAATCCCAACACTCCAAAGGCTGGGGCAGGATAATTGCTGCAAATTTAAGGCTAGCCTCAGCTACATAGTGAGTTCAAGATCAGCCAAAAGTTTTAGAATTTAATAATTTAAACAGAGGTCTTTTTAATATTTTTATTAATTTATAATTTTTTGAGAATTTACTACATGTTAACTAGTTCTAGATAGTGGGACTATATCTATGAACAAAATACTTGAATACTTACACTCATGAAATTTATATTCTAGAGAGAGACAGATAATAAATACGTCAAACATTAAAAATTAACGGCTTGCTTTAGCAGAGAGCAGCGGCTGGGTGTGAGCCCGTGTGCCATGCCAGCCCCGCCCCAGGGCACGCTGAAATGGTGATTGAGACTGGGCGTGGTGGCGCGCACCTGTAATCCCAGCACTTGGGAGGCTGAAAACAGGAGAATCACTACAAATCCAATCTGTGTAGTGAGACCCTGTAGACTCTTTACTAAAATACATTTAAAACAAAAATTAATGGAACATCTTTAATCCTAGCACTCAGAAGGCTGTGGCAGGAGGATCACCGTGAGTTTCAGGCTAGCCTGGCTATAGAGTAAGTTGGAGGGCAGCCCAAATTACATCACGAGCTAGGGGTGGTGGCCTATGCCTATAATCCCAGTGCTGGGGAGGCAGAGGCAGGAAGATTGAGTTCAAGGTCAGCCTGAACTGCATTCTGAAACCCTGTCTCACAAAGACAAACAAAAATTATGGGCCAGGGATCTAGCTCAGTAGTGCAGACACATGCCTGGCAAATGCAAGGTCCTAAGTTTATACAAAGTACATAGTGAAACTGACCCTGTCTCAAAAACAGAATTAATTGAGAACTGGGGAGATAGCTCAACAGCATAAGCACCTGCCTGGCAAGCAAAAGGTCCTGAGTTTGATCCCTGATACCGTGTTTAAAAAAACAAAAACAAAAACAGTTAATTGGGAAAAAGTGACACAGCTAAAGAGAAATTAATAGGGTGGTATTTCACTTCTCAAAGTTTATACTATTTTCAGAAAGCCAATAAAATATTTCTGTAGCCAAAATGTTAAAAAGAAAGTGTTCTTTGCACAAGTTTCTTTGCTTTTTATTGCAAGAGATTGTATGATGTACATTTTGTTTCATTACATAAAATATACAGATCTAAGGGACCAGAGGAGAGCTCAGTGTGTTAGGTATGTCCAAAACCCTGGGCTCAATCCCCAGCAGAAAGACAACAATAAACAGAAAAAGCATAGATAGATACATAAATAAGACTTGAAAAACATGAGTTTTAATTTCAGAATAGTAGGGGTTCTTCAAGATGATCCCTCAGTAGCTAATCCATTGCCTTTGTATACAGTGAGTGCGTAATTATTTATGTCTGATGAAGTGTTTCCCCTCACACTCTGAATGGATACTTCTGCTAGGTTATGTTTTTCCCTTTGATTATAGCAAAACAGGTTAGTACTTGTAGCACTTTCAGATTATTTTGCTGTGCCCATGCAGAGCTACCAGTATTTCTACCTCAGAAGCTCAAGGCTTCCTTATCATTTTTATCTCCATTTGCTATTTAAATAGAAACTATTTAAGTCATTCCCTGAGTTATTACACTTTGAATACAGCAAAAGTATATTTTATGCTGCCAGACTTATCAGGGACAGTATTGCTTGGAAAACATGGAAGACAATCCAGAAGGAGATTTTTTTTTTCAGCTCAAGAGATCTGTTTTTTCTCCCGTGTAACTAAGTTGTCAACATGATTTGATTTTTTTTCAGGAACAAAGGACTTGTCTGTAAGCCCTTCACAGGCATATACTAGTAGGTTCAGTACCACCCTTCCCCAAGGAGGTCTGATTTAGTTCAGAGATATGCCTGTCATCATCACTGATGATGTTTTAGTTCTTTTTTTTCTTTTGAGATCCATATATGAACTTTGTTTAATGTTTGGGCACAATATGGCCATATTTTATGATAGTTACTCCGAATTTGAAATTTCTTCTGAAAATATGACTGTAGGCCAGATGTGGTGGCACATGCCTGTAATCCCAGCACTGGGAGACTGAGACAGGATCATTCAAGACCTGTTCAAGAGTTCAAGACCAGCCTGGGCTACAAAGTGAGCTCAAGGCCAGCCTAAGCTGGATAGCAAGATCCTGTCTCACACAAAAAAGAAAAGATTATGTAATAATAATATAATCCAGCCAGACATGGTGGTGCATGCCTATAATCCCAGTACCAGAAGGCTGAGGCAGAAGGATTGCCATGAGGTTGAGACCAGTCTGGGCTTCATAGTGAGTTCAATGCCAGTCTGAACTACATAGCAAGATGCTGTCTCAAAAAAAAAAAAAAGAAAAAGAAAAAGAGCCAGTACAACCCAAATAGTTACTTTAGGTTGTTTATATCCCTAAAGACAACATTGTGAAATGTATTACTTTTTTTTTTTTTTTATGTGTGTGTGTGTGTGTGTGTGTGTGTGTGTGGCCAGCTCAGCCCACCAGGGGGCAGGGCTCGCTGGCATGTGGTGCTGGGGGATTGAACCGCGGTCCCTGTGCTTTGCTAAGCTTGTTCTAAGTAGGTGCTTTAGACCACTGAGCCATCTCACCAGCCCCTGTATTACTTTTTATTACTATTTATTTTACTAAATATTT